ATAGGTTTAACTCCAGCCGACCCTGCTCCAGCCGAAGCGCCAGTTCCCTAGCCCCCTCCATTGCGCCATTGATGTGTTTGTGTATTTTGCTCTCGGAACGCTATTCCTGTCTGTAGGTGAATCTCCGTGTTTGGAGAATGAAACATTGGACAGCCAAAGCTGCGTTATGTATGGTATTTCTATTTGCTTGCTGTGGACCGTTAATGAGTATAGCCATCTTCTTTTTGTTTGTGAAGCTTAGAAAGTTGGTTCCTAGAACTTCTGTTAATCTACGAGATAGGTCAGATCGCTGAGTGTTGAAGAGAGGACATATGAGTAGAAAATGTTCGACGGTTTCTTTTGGAGCACCACATCGGCAGATGGCTGAGTTGCTTTTTCCTAGAGCATATCTATGCTCGTTTAGTTCTGACGCTTGGAGCCTGATTTGGGTATGTAGCTGGTTACCTACTTTAGAGCCTTCGTTAAAGCACTTAGCCGGTCGGCTAAGTGTTGAAGCACTTAGCCAACCGGCTGCTGGAGTTCAGCACGTCGAAGAGGTCGTTCAGTTTCATCAGTGCTGCCGCTGTGTCTGCTCTCTGGAGCCAGGATGCCTGGAATGGTTGAAACATTGCAAAGATCATCATCAGACACTGAAAGGTCACTGAAAGGACACTGAAAGGCACATGTTCAGCATGGAGTAGCCCTTCACGTGAGGACAGGAGGGGCTCTATTTTTCAAAATTTACATAATTTTTCAGGATACTGCAAAACGCTCCCTATTTGGTGGTGAGGGGTGCGGGCTACCAAGTGCCAAACCAGTCAAACCGCTCATGATATTGACTGCTGTCTAATTAAGATATCATGACAAAATTGCGTGTATTGTTTCCACAATCGAGCAAAAAATACTGGTAATGCACGCGACAAATGAATGGAAGAATGGGTCAGCCACCAGCAGTGAATCTTACCGAGTTCAGAGTAGAGAGTCATTGCAACAGCAACTGAACGGCTCATGACCTGGGTGGCCAACTTAACGCTCATCTTTTTGAATGGTGTTGGTCGAAGGTGGAGCGTTTTCAGCTTCGGTGCTGCTCGCAGCTTCCGGCAGCGATCCCAGTGGTACAGAGCCATTAGGTGGTTCCAGCTGACGACGTAGCCGTCCACTGTGACGTCGTACTTGAGAAGAGCGTTCCGCAGGCATTTGAACAGGTGCGGCACGTCGAACAACGCAGCCACATCCTGACCACCCACTCGGTAGCTTCCGTCCTCGCGCCGAGAAGTCGGTAGGTCTGCTGGTTCGTGGCGCCCATGTCACACACACAAAGAGGCCACTACTGTGAGACCAGCTTCCTGCAGCTTGGTGACACATTGCACCAAAAGCTCTCGCTGGACCTCTGCCTTTGTAAGGCCTGCCGAGAGAAAATAACCCATACTTTGTTTCCATCTCTTTGTGATGCCACGCACCATGAGTGGTTTGCACAGGCCCTGGGGCCTGGACATTCCAAAGGAGCCGAAGTCCTTTGTGCCTTCAATGGCATCATCTCCACGCAGGTATGTGATCTTTGACCTGATGGTCATTTCATCAAAACTGATGACACAGAGCTTTTCAGAGCTACTGGCAGTCCTGAACACTTCCTTTAGAACACACAACACAGACTCATGAAAGCCTGGATGCATGCGGATCCGTTCCATGTTCTTGCGCAGCAGGCGAGTGCTTGGTAAAACGAACTGCTTTGCAAGGAAGCGATATGCTCGTGGCCCCTGGAAGTAGATTGCCAGTGCATACATCAACTCCTCATCAGTGTAGCGCCTTCCATGGGGTTTTTACCAGCTACACGCACCTTCAACTTGAAGAATGACTTTGCTTGCTTGGACATGTTCTTGCGTGCTTCTTCCAGAAAGTTTCGTCGCGATCGGCCGCTTTTTACGCAAGTTATTCGCGAAAAACCTTAGGGGGGGGGTTGCATCAACCCCCCCTGTGCCGGCGAGGGTTAACCCGCGCGGGGCTGGGGTCTCCAGCCGAACGCGCGGGGCTGGGGGGGGGTAAATTTTACCCCCCCCCCCCTGTTATCTCCCGAACTAATGGTCCGATTTGGAAAATTCAAACGCCAATCGAAAGATCTCATCACGAACAACTAAAAATATGTACTTAATTTTAAGTTTGAGGTCAAGGTCAAGGTCAGGTCAAGGGTACAAATTGCAAGTTCCTACAGTATCGGCCTTGCACCGTAGTTGCCGAAGAATGGAGTCATGGACTGAGACTGATCGCCCAAAACGTGTTCTTAGGCTACCAAGACAATATTCGTTGCATACAATATCATTCAGAGGTCAAGGTCAAGGTCAGGTTAGGTCAGGTCAGGTCACCAAAAACAAAATATAGAAAGGGGCATGTGCGACACATGTTTTATGGGTCATTTTACTCATAGAATTCAATAGGCACACTCAATAAGTGATATGGACCACCTCTGGATGAATTTCAGGTCGAGGTCAGGTCAAGGTCAGGTCAAGTGAGGTCAAATTTTGAAGTTGGTTGTTAAGGTCTAAAAAGGTGTCTATCTGATGCAGTTTTTCACGGCGAATCGAATGGTGCTATTTTTGTTTCCGTACGAGGTCTAGAACTTCCAAAAAAGTCATTTTTTCAAAAATTTTGTGTGTTGTGACGTCATACAATTTTGAATAACTCCCACATTTTTGAACCGATTCTTCTAAAACTTGGTATGTAGGTGCACATAGACCACTTCTCTGACATATATTCCGGTTTTTTCGATACACTCAAAATTTTGGATTTTATAGTTATTTTCCCAAAAAAGTCAGTTTTTTGAAAAAATTTGGGCCAAAATCCAAAATTTTCAAAAAACCGAGATAGCCATTTGATAGACCAAGTAGAATTACGTAAAACCTTTTTTGTTACGTCTTGATTCCTTTAAAAATGAAGATGTTAGCGGCGTTTGAACTTTTGCCGTTTTTGAGGCGAAAATGGCGAACATGACGTCACTAAAACGTCAATTTCTCAAAAAATTTCCGACGGATTTCGCTCAAATTTTCAGGGAACGTGTCAAATTGATGTAAGAAAAGGTACTGAAAGTTTGGCGGCGCTGCGCGCCGCCGTTTTTGAGATATTGCAAAAATTCGCGAGGGGGGGTAAAATTTACCCCCCCCCCCCCAGCCCCGCGCGGGTTAAGGACGTACGCAGACATGTGCAATGTGCATGGATCCGAGGGATGGATCTATGATGTCAGTGGATCTCGAAGCAAACTGCAGGTTAGGATCCGTGATCCCACCGGATTCGGCGTGAAAAATGTATCCTGGATCTATGATCTCATATGATCTGACGATAAACCAATAACATGGATCTCACAGTCCGGTCTGGCACGCCACCGAACAGTTCAGCCAGCCGCCGTTGGTCCGCCAGGTAGACGTCGGCAGATTCGCCCGGCTGAAGACGGCGGCTGATGAGGGCGTCGTATGCCGCAAAACCGTCCAGAGTGAACGCTGCGAAAAGGGCCGACTTTACGGCATTGAGGGAGGCTCGGTGATCGGGCGAGTGTGGGTGGGTACATAAGAGTTCCGAGCGCACACCTTCGCTACTCACGGCTATCTGCTGCGCGGTGAAGATAGACCGAACTGCACCCACTGTGGGGAGCAATTTTCAGTGGCCCATGTGCTGCTGACGTGCCGCCGGCTTGCCGGGATGCGGTCACACCACCTCCGGCATCTTGCGCCCACAGTAACTCTCCTAGATCTTCTCTCAGATAACTCGCGCTGGATCCATAACGGTAGCTTTATTTTCCTTTATCCGTGCAGCCAACTTTCCCGTTACTTTCCTTTCCTAAGCAGTTGATGGCAGTTGCTCGAGTGGAGGCATGGGGCAAGGAGAACGGCTTCCGGTTCTCCTCTGCAAAGACGGTAGGCATGCAGTTTTCCCGTAAGCGTCGCCCCACTGCACCCATGGTGGTGAGGCTCTACCGTGAAGCCATACCAGTGGTTGCGGAGGCCAAGTTCCTTGGCATGACTCTTGACTGCCGACTCACATACCGAAGTCACATAAAGTGTCTCCGTGACAGATGTCTTAAAGCTCTTGACATTCTGAAGTGTGTCGCTCGCATGTCCTACGGCGCTGACCGTAGTACGCTACTCCTTCTTTATCGGTCTCTGGTGCGGTCCCGTCTGGACTATGGATCTTTTATCTATGACAACGCTGCATCCTCATCCAAGCTTATCCTTGACACTGTCCACCACGCAGCGATTCGCATTGCGACTGGTGCTTTCCGAACTACTCCTGTCGTCAGCTTGTTAGCTGAGGCGAACGAGCCCCCTCTGGCCTTACGAAGGCAGATGTTGGGCATGCGATACGCCATCAAACTTCGTCAGTTCCCTTCCCATCCTGCTCACGGACCGGCTTTCTCCAGGTCGGTCTTAGCAGTCTTTGATGGCGACGAGAGGAGCCGCTCTCGAGTTTTCTGCACCCGAACGGCCGATCTCCTCCGAGATTGTGGCCTAAGCACTCGGGACATCATGCGAGTTGTTATCCTGCCTGAACCGCCTTGGAGGTTATCTGTCCCCTCTGTGGACCCAACCCTATCAGGCACACGGAAAGACCAAATTCTGCCTCTGGCCTTCAAGGCGAAGGCATTGGAACATATTGAATCATATTCAGGCCATGCCGTGGCATACACCGATGGGTCCAAGTCGGACCTCGGTACTGGCTGTGCCTTCGTCTGCGGCGACGCTGTGCGATGTTTTACTTTATCTAAACATGCATCCGTTTTTACCTGCGAATTGGTCGCCGTCCTCAAACTTCTATGTTTTATGCAGATTCATCCCGCTCGGTCATATCTTGTCCTCTCCGACTCATTGAGCGGACTCCAGTCCTTGACACAATTCTATCCACTTGACCCCCTCGTACAGTAGATTCTTCTCCGTTTGACGGCTCTCGACCGAGAGGGTACCTCAGTGACTTTTTGCTGGATTCCCAGCCATGTTGGTATAGCTGGCAATGAGCGGGCGGACCGTGCTGCGAACCATGCGGCGCGGCAGCCCTGCTCCCGCCGGTTCCCTCTACCGGCCAGGGACTTTTTCCCTATGGTGAGCTCATTCTTCCGCGGAAAGTGGCAGGAGGCTTGGAGCAAATGTCAGACAAACAAGCTGCTACGCATCAAACCGGGTTTGGCAACCTGGCTGTCTGCGTCACGCAAGTCGCGTCGAGAGGAGGTCATCCTCTGTCGGCTTCGCACAGGACACACTTTCGGTACCCATGGACACCTTATTGGCGTCGGCCCAAGACCTGTTTGTGCGAGATGTGGCGACAGACTTTCCGTCCGACACGTTTTTCTGGAGTGTCCAAGACTGGAAGCTGAGCGGCTGAAGTTTCTGGGCCTGCGCGGAGCCCAACTTTCTTTGAGAGCAGTCTTAGGTGACGAGTCCTCTTTGCTTGACTCTTCTCGCCTCTTTTCGTTTATTGCGGCCTCCGGCCTTCAGGTGATTTTTAACGCCCGACACTGAGGAAGTCAAATAAGAAATGGGCGCGATATAGCCTCGCAGCTGGTGCGCCCTGTCACTCCAAATCATCATCATTCCTTTCCTAAGCATAAAACGTAAATAAGTAAGTAATTAAAGACGTATTTAAAATCTCTGTTATGGGCGCAAAATGACCTCGCAGTCGGCGCACCCCTAACCCTCAACAAACAAACACACAAACGGGTCCACCACTCCACTGTGTCTTTGGTGCCGTCGTATTCCGCGATCACGCGGACGTCTAAAGTCCCCGCACTCGCGGACACCGATCCCACCTCGTCTCCGGCCATGGTAAAGGTCGAAATAGCTTGTATTCACCGCGAGCGCTTCACCAACGTCACGGTATGTACACCGCGGGCCACACGGCGCGACTCCCGCCCGATCTGCCCTCTCTCCGGACCCCCTGTCATACCGCCTCTGCCAGAGTCCCGGTGCAGACTCCGGCGCGTACAGTCTGTGACATAACACACTCATGGCTACTGGGCGCCCGGTCGGGGCGCCGGGGACAGGACACAGGGCGTCACGCTACGCATGTTATCACACCATCTTGATCACACCACAGGAAGCTCGGGCTTCTGCAATAAAGCTCCCACTTCAATGGCAGCCACACTAGGCGATTAGCCTGTCCGCGGTGACCTGTCCCGGGCCGGTGACCGCGGTGACCTGTCCCGGGCCGATGACCGCGGTGACCTGTCCCCGGCCCCTGGTAACCCAGTGACTGGCGGCTGGCCGCTCTGCCGCCAGGATGCCCGTGCAGTACATCGTGGGCGAGTGGGAGTTTTGCGACGTGACGGTGTCGGTACGTCCGCCGGTACTGGTGCCGCGGCCCGAGACGGAGCGTCTGGCGCTGCTGGCCGCCGACCGGCTGCGCCCGCTGGCCGCCGCCGGCGAACGGAGCCCCCGGCTGCTGGAGGTCGGCTGCGGCTCCGGAGTCATCACCCTCGCCGTCCTGCACTGGCTCAAACAGGTGACTTCATTAACGAGTCCCGTACGCAGGCTGGATTACTAAACTCGTCAGTCTCTCGTCATTGGTGCTGCGTCATTTCAATGTCAATGCGTCAATGCTGCGCGCTTTTTGTTCTCAACTTTTTTATTGCAAAGTGCTGGCTCCAGTCACGATTGATCAGAATACACGTCATTTCGGCGTCAGCGGAACATTTCCTGTGATGAGATTCGCTGTCATCCTACCTCGTAACTACAATGCCTGAGTGAGCTATACGCTTGTGTTGCTAAATCACCGACTGGGAACTAAGTTCAGGGCTGTGGAGTCGATGAATTTTTCATGACTCTGACGGCGACTCCGGCAGAACTGTCGACTGACTTACTCCTACTCGTACTCGCAGCCCTGGAAATAACCGCCATCGACTTCGAGACGTAGATGACAATATACGACGTAGATGACAATATACAGCGGCGCTGTCCGGTGGATCCCCTGAAGCTGAGCTTCTGTCCTCCGCCGCCAGGTGTCAGCGGTGGCGGTGGACCCGTCTGAGGCCGCCTGTCTGCTGACTGAGGAGAACGCCGCTCGGCTGGGCGTCTCTGAGCGGCTGCACGTGCACCGCGCGGCGCTCACCGACGCCGGACTACCCTGTGTGGAGGGTCAGCGGTTCGACATGGTGGTCAGCAACCCGCCCTACGTGCCGACGGCCGACCTGCGGCGGCTGCAGCCGGAGATACTGCTGTGAGCGCCCGGCACCGCCGAAACTGGGAGAGGGGGCGAACTTCATGGCTGAGTAGGGTCGGAGTAGAGAAAGCTCATCTGTTCCGTCGTTTCCATCCTCAGGACAGCCAAATCCTTCTTCACGCCTGCACCCCCTGCTCCAGACTGAACGGGCAACCTTATACCATGCCGAAAGCTACCTAGGAGCAATAGGTGGGGGAAGGGGGGAAGCACCGGGGCACCGTGCCCCCATCGATTTTGCCATTTTAACATTAGCCCTATGGGCGTTGCATGGAAAGAATGGGACCAAAAGTCGGCAGTGCTCCCCCCCCCCGTTAATTGAGGAGGTTCCGCCGCTACTGCCTAGGAGCACGCCCGTAGCCGGGTGCAGTGAGTGTTTTGGGGCTGGGCGGCCTGTCCACTGGATGGGCTCAGCCCGACGACCCACTAGGGTGCCCGTCCAGACCAATGTCTCCCCCTAATTCCTATCATCCTTGAGTGGTATCTCACGAGTCTGTACACTGGCTTTGCAGCGTGCAATGATATTATGTAGTGGGACTTAGGGTAGACGGCTGGATGCTGCCGCCTCAATTCACAGTTTTGTAGAGCATTTATCGCTGTATCCTGTGTTAAGGCTCCGCAGTGCAGTGAAATTCTGTGATCCCGTGCCGTCTGTATGAGGCTGTCTGTGTGTCTGTCTTTGTTGCTGCGCGTGTGACCGTGTGGTGCGGTGTGTTTCCTGTCACAAGGACCGGCGGCGCTCTCCCGTAGTTTTATCTTTCCGGCGTGTGACCCGTGTGGTGCCGTGTGTTTGCAGGTACGAGGACCGGGCGGCGCTGGACGGCGGGCGGGACGGCCTGGCGCTGGTGCGCCGCCTGCTGCGCCGCTCGGCCGGCTGGCTGCGGCCCGGAGGCCGCCTCCTGCTCGAGCTCGGCCTCGGACAGCCGGAGACTGTAGTGGCGCTGCTCTCTGAGCCCGGCACGGGGCTGACGCGACCCCAGGTGCACCGGGACTTCAACGGCCGCGAGCGCTTCGTGGAGGCGCAGCGGGAGTAGGAGAGAGGGAGGGAGGAGTGACCCGACTCGTCGGTCGTGTGAGGTGCGGTGCAGCAATTATAAGTCGATGTAAGGTCGGTTTGTGACGCCTTTTGTGAATGATTCGATTGATTTTTATGGTGAGAGCGTGAGGAGTGTGCGTGATTGTACTTGTAGTGTTGTGAACTGCATTGAAATACATTGTAATATAAACAAAGAACCTGAATTTTGAGGGATCTGGAATCGTATATAAAGCATGAAGTATGAATGTGAAGTACAAAGACGTGCTATGATGATCGGACGGATCGTATTATTTCATGACACTCACGCTGTGCCGGTAACACCGCTAAGTCTAGCGCCAAGGGTATCATAGGGTCAGCGCTGTAACTCGGCACCCGTAATGGCTACGTGCGCTGTCAGCTGGTTGGGAGCCCGGCACTTTGCAGTGGGCCGCCCGGACCCCTCCCCCACCGACAGCCGCTGGCGTCGCGCCAGTGCCGCCGTCAGTGCACGCAAAAAACGACACGCACACTGGCCTGGAGAGGCGAGTTGTGGCATCATCAGACAACCCCCTCCCCCCCCCCCCCCTCCCCCGAGGCGGACCAACGGCACGCACACTGGAAAAATGGTTAGAGCCACCCGCTCAGGGGGTAAGTACGTTTTCATGTGCCACACGGGTTATATCTAAGTGGATCCTTTCTGTTTTGGATACGTTGAGGAACATGCATTCGCGCAGGCATTGCATAGCCAGGGATCGGGCATCGGCTTATTTGCAATCTATCGGTTCGAACTCCACTGGCTCATTATGCATCGGTAGGCCAAGACGGTGCCCGTGACCGCGCTGGCCGACGCCCGGTGAAGGTCACCCCGATCTGCGTTGTATACATTCGGGACCGGGCCGCGGCTCTGGTGTGTCCTGCCGGTCTGGTCGGTGTGTCTCCGGGCCAGCGGCTGGCCCTGTCCGCTGTCTGGCGCCCCGGCCGGCCGCGGTTCGTCCCTCACTCCCGGCGCTGGGGCACCGACGGCGGCTGCTCCGGGGATCGCGGCTGAGAGGCGACATCGGAGGACGTCCGGCGGTGCAACTCTGCAGAGATGACGGTGAGTTGCCGGCGGACCGCCAGCGGCCGGTGCCGCGCTGCTGCAGAGCCGGGGTTGTTTATTTCGGGCCGATGCCCATGGACGGCGGCCAGCGCGCCGGCCTCTCCAGCCCCGGGTCGTGTCCTGTCGTCACCGGTCAGCTGGCCGTGGGGTGAGCTGTGCAGTGTGCACCATGCTCTAGGAGGAAATTGGAGATAAGACGTGAAAAAAGACGATATGTTTGCTCATCAATGTTATCGTAGCTCAAAAAGTCAAAAAGTATCGTAGCTCTTCTAGGTTATAGGGCCTTGCCGATAAAAAGGATGTCAATTTCATGGGGATACTGAAGCTTGCTTAGGTTTTATTTTTTCAGTGAAGTATGGCAATGGATCAAAAATGATTATCACGAAACCACCTATGCAGGGGATGGTGCACGCAGGGGTAGCCAGTAACAGTTGGTAGCATTAGGCCAAATGGGCGCTCAAAAACTACTACCCCATAGGGCTTCCATGTTAAATCGACCTTTTTCAAGCGAGCCCCATACGTAAGCTAATAGATAAAATGCCAATATTATTGTGGGGAAAGGTAGCCTCAAGCTTTCTCTACAACCTTTCTATCTAGCGTTTTTCGATGCGGAGGCCATAACAGGTCCAAAAAGCATTGGGCGCTGCCCGAGGTACCAATAGCCCCTCCATGAGAGCACAAGTTCCTGCGCATGCGCACATTGCCTCAACCCTGTACAAGCGTAAATTAGTGATACTGCTCACGGACTCGCTCAGCCAATCAGCATCCACGATTACATTCATAGATGTCGCTAGCATCACGTAAATCCTGCTTGCGAACACATTTAAAGAATGAAACAGCTGCGCCATTTCCGCCTTCCATTGATTCCTTCCATTTTAGTATCAACTATACGCTTTTCAACTAACTTTAGACTAAGTTTTCAACTATGGTAAGTATGTTATTTCTGGTACATATAATTTAAAAATAACTGCTTTATGAATTTGGCTTTACTCTTCAGAATGGAATACTCTATTTTTTCGATAAACAAAAAATATATCACCTACCCTGTAGCTTGTCCAGGTAAAATGGGCGCTTTCCGCGTCGTTGGTGTACCCGTTGTTCTATATACCCTGGGTGCACGTTTCGCATAATCTTGGTTGTCGAATCGTTTTGCAGTTGTTTATCCTTGGTTTATCGTACGAAGCTATCTGAGACAGCTATGGCGGAGCTGCGACGGATGCTGCGCAGCGGAACCCAGCTGTTGATCGCCACTTGCCGGCTCGCGCTCAAGCTGTGTGGACTGTGGGTTGTCGGCGGGACTTAAAGGAAATAGTTCACTTTTTAACATGGGTTTTGAACTGGAATAGCAGTTCCGTAGCCTGGGCTGAGACGAGCATAAATCAGGAGCTTTTACAGCCCAACGATCACCCTAGGCAAAGATATTCTATTTCTCGTCCCGAAAAAGGTGTCGATGTGTGCCTTGCATATATTCGCATCCAGTATGAAAAGAGCATGGGTACCGAAAATTCTTCAGAAACTAGAGAAATTATCTACGAGAACTCTAGAGAAATTCTCGTACTGATCAATAAGGACATTCAGCAGCAGCAGATCGCCCAAATGCCGGTGGCCGCGATAATTTCTCTAGTTTCTGAAGAATTTTCGGGACCCATGCTCTTTTCATACTGGATCGCCTGTGCCTTACAGAAACTGAAAAGTTCTTCCTATATCAAAATATAGAAAATAATCTTTTGTTATAAATAGGTTTTATTTTCTTTGCTGATCATTTTGAACATAAAAAATCATAAATCCATTGCAAAAAAAATAATTTCGTGAAAGTGAACTATTTCCTTTAAGCTGATTGAAGTGTTAATTTTGTGTTTTAGCTGAGAATTTGCACATTCCCCCTGCTGGAAATTTATTTTGCCTTTATTCTTAAGGCACTTTGTGTTGATCTTACGTTTTCGTGTGGTCACAACCTTACCTGCTAACAGTTGTTTAATTACCTACTAGTTTGTTTTTTATATGGAATTGGATCCTATGAGCTGTACTTGTATGGGAATTGAATTGGTTACTCAAGCACTGTAGCCAGAAGAGACTTGAAAAAAGGACATATATCCCAAGTTGAAAACTTGAAAAGTACTTAAGATGATTCGCTTGTTTTCTGTGTCTGGTATGGTTTTACGGAACAACTTCAACAGGACATTTTCTACATCAAGAGTAAGTTTGTTTGTCTTCATGTTTTGTATCCATGTATCAGTATACTGGAGTGTTAAGTCTTGGTTGGTTATGGTTCTTTCATTACTTCTTTCATTGCATCAGAAATTTGGCTCATAAACTTGTGTTTCTGAATGGCATCCTTGTCAAAAGTTATATCCATGCAGGGTGCTTACCTATGTTTATGAAATACTTAAAGATCAGTGGTTTGCCTAGATTTGCTTGGAATCCTGATTGCATTTTTGCCAAACTGACCAAGTAATCTAAGAGATAATTAAATTGTGTCCACACCAACATATTTCATTTTTGGCAATGAATGAGGGCATATGGCAAATATTGAAAGGGATGCAATGTACACATCCAATTATTAAGGCTTTAACTGCTCAAAGAGGTGCACTATTCATCTGACAGACTTTCCAGCTAATATTTTAGCTCTTGTTCTTTGCAGGACGAGCAGTTAGCTGAAACCGATGGCTGACTATGCCCAGGCAGAGCTGTGACTGTGCCTTACTATACCCTGGACTGACTGTTGGCTGTGACTGCCCCTGAACACTCCCAGGGCTGGTTGTTACCTGTTCCTGCCCCTGACTGTGCCTGGGCAGTGCTGTGACTGTGCCTTACTATACCCTGGACTGACTGTTATGCTAGCTGTGACTGCCCCTGAACACTCCCAGGGCTGGTTGTTACCTGTGTCTGCCCCTGACTGCATGCCCTGGCAGGGCTGTGACTGTGCCTTACTATACCCTGGACTGACTGTTACGTTGGCTGTGACTGCCCCTGAACACTCCCAGGGCTGGTTAAGTTGGCTGTGCCTGCCCCTGACTGTGCCCTGTCAGTGCTGTGACTACCCCTGACTGAACTCTGACAGAGCTGTGACTGCCTCTGGCCACTCCAACCCTGTCCAGCAGAGATGTAACTGCCCCTGGTTTTCCCCGGCAGAGCTGTAACTGCCCCTGGTTTTCCCCGGCAGAGCTGTGAGAAGCTGCGTGTGGCCATCATCGGCCAGAGCTCGTTCGCCGGCGAGGTGTACAAGCTGCTGCGCAAGGATGGCCACACGGTGGTGGGCGTGTTTACTGTGCCCGATCAGGGCGCGCGCGAGGACCCCGTCGGTGAGTACCTTACGCGGTCAGTGGTACAGAGGGGTGGGCACAAACGTCTTTAGAGAGGGAGAGAGAGAGTCGGCTAGTGGCATGGTCATCGGTGATGAAAGTGGATTCATTATTGACATTCGCGTGATGGCGAGAGGGTGAGCGGGTCGGTCACCGGCTCTGTCGCTGAAGAACTCAAGCTGGAGGTGGCTGGTGTCGGAAATGTCGGTCGGTTGGTTGGTTTGGGTTGAGCACCATATCCGGTGGACCAAGGTGCTAACCGGAACTCTCACGCTGTTCCAAGCGGTCAGGCAGCGGCAATGCCACGGCATTGCCCGGGAATCGTGGGAAATGTCGATAAATGTCCGTCGTTGTAATTTACATGGTGATGTGCTCGCTGCCGACACAGCAGAGACTCCGGGTGTGTTCAGTGATATAGCCATCGCTCGCGACTCGCGAATTATCTTCATCTCGTATTACTGCCGTGGCTATGTTAATTCAGTATAACCTGCTGCATTAGTGAAGCTGTAGTGAGTTTTTTTTTTAATATTTTGAAGATTATTTGACATTTCCTTTTGCCTCTTTTGTCGAAGTTTCTACATGTTCGTTGCTGAAGTTCAAAAGGCATTTTTACATCAGATTGAGCATCATTGTTCTATGTTGCGTCCTCACACGTAGGGGAGAGTGGGGTGGGTTGTATCAGTTTTTACTCCGAGACCCATAACCTCGTAACTATCCGTGATAAACTCATTATTTCCATACTATCCCCTTCCTTGATTCTTCTGCTTTTTTGTGTAAAGTAACTTTTCCGCTACCTCTACCAGTTTTTCTTCTACGGTCTCCCGAATAGAACAATGTTTTTGATACAACTTGCCCCATGGCTTGGGTGAGTTGTATCACATGGTGGGGTAATTTGTATCACTATTTCACGTTTCAGGGAGTGTGCTTCCTACTGGTTTTGAACATAACAACAACATTAAATGGGGTTAATACAATGTATAGGTATGCTCAAAGGCTTCACTTTATTAGACCAAACTTAGGTCAATGCAATCCGAACGAAACATCAACAGACTAGACGCAAAAGTGGCCCGTTAAGAGCAAAAAAGCCAACACATTGTGCCGAAATGGAACGAGCATTGACTAGCTACCTACAAACGCGAGCCAGGGCTTAGCTTTCGCGATCAAAAGCAACATATCCATACATACATACATACATACATGTTACAACATACCCCACCCGGCTCTGATACAACATGTACCTAGCCACCATCTTGGAAAAAAAACATCCTCGTGCTAAAAAAACAGCGGACAGCTGGAGAAATCCGTTTTCACTCACGCAGCCTTAAAACCTACCCTCACCACCGCTACGGAGATCTTTCAAATTCGTGCACATCTAAATGCCCAGAACACACATTTTCTTGCAACTTATTTTTTTAGAATGACATTAAAAAAAACATAAAATCGGCTCTCACCTCGAGACGCGTCCACTCAGCCACAAGACAGAACAGGGAAAGATGGCGCCCGGAAAACCTCGTCGGCTGGTCGTGTCGCGAGCGCCATCCATTGGATAAGTTTGGCACAATTCGCCCTGATACAACTTGGACATGATACAACTCACCCCGCTCTCCCCTACCATGACATGAGCAATGAGCATGTGCACAGTAAAAACGTTTTCGAAAATAGAAACATCCGTAATTTTGCCCGAAACTTTCAGAGCTGGGTCGTCGCATTCCATCACATAAGAATATACGCAAGAACTAGTGTGTCTTGTCTCATCGACCCTGTCTGGTTCGCCCCGTACCCATAGGGGGATGCCAACCCTCCTAAAAAAACTCCCTCTGCTCGTGCCCCTGGCTCGGTACCCCGACCTGACTCTGGGTCCGTCCCGTAACCCCCGGGTGGACCGCCCGGCCCGGCCTGCCATGACTGTATGTACCCGTCGGCGGACCAGTCAGGCATGCAGTGGCCGTGCATGTATGTTTGGCTCTACTGATACGGTCGCCAGGCTGGTCCGCGAGGCGGCGCCGGCCATGAACCGGCTCTCTCCGGTAAATACCGGTTATAGCCGGCTGCGCCCAGAACCGAAAGCGGTCATGTCAGCATTCGGGCCGGCCATGAGCTGCCACGAGGGAGCTCGCCAAACGCTGGCGAAAGCAGGCCACGGGTCGTTGATGTTTGGAATAGTGTTTTGATATTATGCTGTCATATTATCGTTGCTGTTTTATTGCTGTACGGCATACGCACTCTATCTTAACCGATCCACTTCCATCTTTCCATGTTACTCCATTGCAGAGGAGCAGTTTATAATGTGGAGCTTAGATTTGTGCGGCCTTGTACATACATAGTCCCGGTCTGTGTCGCAGACAGCGGTCAGCTCCTCCAGCGCGTGTGGTCTGCTTTCTCTGGTTTACGGCAGTGCATGTATTTTGCGTTCGTGCCGTCTGCACTCTGTGGTGTACGAGAGTGCACGCTCCTGAAATTGACCTCCCGGCCGTCGGTCGCGGCCCCGCCGGACCGGCGCGCAGTGCAGCGGACGGGTGACCGATCCCCGCCGGGCCCCCGAGGGGTGTGTCCGTCAGAGAGGCCCCGAACGTGACGGCTCGCCGGGGGTGTGTCCGACTCTGAACGTTTATAAACACTGCCTCGCCAAGGTCGCCCCAGTACGAGCCAGAGTGGCTGACGTAGTTTCCCCCTCCCCTCGCCAAGGGGCCGAGAGGGGAGAGGAAGTGGCTACAAGATATTGTAGCCGCGTATTCGTTCGAAGCGCCGATGATACCGACGTTTCTTTACCGATAAAATGTTTGCAGTAAATATGCAAATTTTAAACTTTATTCATATACCTGCATACGAAAAAATATCACTACAGGAAGCTGACAAGTGCATGCGAGGACTCGCATTTTTATGATGACGCTTTTACACAGCTGTTTGGTATTTTATTAATTTAGGCTCATCCTGCCTTTTTGGCTTTCATCCCGACCTCACCGGCGCCCTGTTTTAGGCCGGTGCTCTTTGGTAGTTAATCGTCCCCAATACTCATAACAGGTGGGCTCGACATAATTGCCCCTGTATTATGCTCGTGCTTTGGTAGGTGGTCCGTTGTCATTCCTCCATCGCACATAATTTCACGTTGCACACCATGTCCATGGTTGCATCGCGCGTTGCGCACCATAGCCGTCCCAACCCATGCTCAGCCAGTGGTGGTAGGGTGACCTGGAACCCGACCTCTGCGCTTCCCTGTGCCCCAGGGGTCGAGGGGTCCGTCTGGTCCGTCTGACCCTCCCCCGGGGGGCCGGGGCCCTCTCCGGTCGCAGGGGCTCACCGAGTGTCTGTGGAGGAGCCGAGGCCTGGCAACCAGTGTTTGTCACCCGAGGTACTGATCATGGATCCGTTATTTGGAACTCGAAGTAAATCCCAACACCATAGTCGGTCAGATACATTGTCAGGGTAGATTTTGCCTATCTCCTGCTAGCTGAACTCGAAAACTATGTGATCATACCATCGTATGACGCAGTTTTGTTGGTGCGCCAAAGTCGTGAGAAGGAGCTGTTGGTCCGATTAGGACAGTCGTGATGCGTTGTGCTGCTTTTTACTGTTTTTTACATTGCTCGAGAATCGGGGCAGTTCTGGGTGTCAGAGCTATTTAACTGGAAATGATCTTTTTTTTAGAAATTTAGTCCAAACTTTTGAATGGAAAGATTGACAAGGACAGAGCCCCCGCTAAGCGAAGCTTGTTCCGTTGACCCTGCCCTCTACCCTCCGATCGCGCAATTCCGGTCCTATGGCAGAATTGGGAGTCCAAAGTTTAACGTGCGCACATAGCCGCGCACGGCTGGTCCCCTCACTGACTTCGCCTGGCTACGGCCTGCCACCAGCCGCAGCCATACCTATCAGGAGGCCCATAAACGTCAAGCCCCCGTCGCGCTTCGAACCCGGATTGTTATAACCGGAAACACGTGCTTTCACCACCCGGAGTCAAACGCTTACCGACTGAGCTTCCGGACCGGCAAATGGTTGATTTGCTTATTGAAATCACTCTCAAACATGGATTCGTATACCCTACCTCACCACCTACCTTCACCGTCTAAACCCGGCTTCCCCGTGTAACTCGTCCGTGTGCCTCCCTCCACCAGCCACGACGGCGGCCGCGGACGGCGTGCCCGTCTTCAAGTTCAAGTCGTGGCGCAAGAAGGGCGTGGCACTGCCCGAGGTGCTCGAGCAGTACAAGTCGGTGAACGCCGAGCTGAACGTGCTGCCCTTCTGCAGCCAGTTCATCCCCATGGAGGTCATCAACGCGCCGCGACACCAGAGCATCTGCTACCACCCGTCGCTGCTGCCCCGCCACCGCGGCGCATCGTCCATCAACTGGTAACCGCAGAGGATACTGAGCTGACGGGTGGAGGAGGGATGTGAGCAATTACACTTGGGACATTTCCGTTGCACATAACGTTCTACTGGCACATACTTAGTAAATTCAATTACTTCCTAACTAAGCCGATTCCCTTTGAAATATATTGCTCGCCCTCACACAGCAAATCCTCTTTTAACGATAGTTTGGTAGATATCTTCAGTTTCTTGTCGTCCATTCGACGTGAATACTTACGGAAATATTTGCGACTCCGCTACTTAAGCGCACTATGAAAGTTTTAATGCCGGGTTGGGAACCTCTGGGCCGCCCAGCGTCCAGAAGCGTGTTTTGTCCGCTCCTGAGCGGGCGGCTAGACTACTTTTTACCGGTGGACCTGTTTTTGCGCCGGTGTTGGTTTCTGGGCGGAGGTCCTGTCCCGTTCGGCATTTCCCAGGAGTTCCTATAGTCTGCAATGCAAATGTAAAGGGTCATTAAGGGGCACTGTCATAAAACACTGGCCAATGGCTATTGGCTTTGGTTAGGCAAAACCCATATTCTCGTTTTCTTTGTTTCTCGCTTTAATGCTTGTCTTCTATGACGTTTGACTCTGACAATCCACGAAGCGTGGCTCATGACCGGTCCGTTACCTCTGACATGTTCTCTGCGATTTGCCGTGACCTGCGACCTACCACCTGTGATATGCCACCTGTGACCTCCCGTGACCTGTGACCTACCACCTGTGACCTCCCGTAACCTGTGACCTGTGACCTCCCGTAACCTGTGACCTGTGACCTCCCGCTCAGGACGCTGATGTGCGGCGACAAGAAGGCGGGCTTCTCGATCTTCTGGGCGGACGACGGCCTGGACACGGGCCCCATTCTGCTGCAGAAGGAGTGCTCGGTCGACCCGGACGAGACGGTCGACACGCTCTACAACAAGTTCATGTACCCGGAGGGCATCAAGTCTATGGTGAGCAGCTGGGGCTCGTGGGTCGGTTGTTGCTGATGCTTTTTCTTCAGATCACAAGTGCACCGTCATTCTAAAGCGATTCATGCGATCATTTGAGTGCCTTTCCCTGCGAGTGCTTAGGGCCCGAATTACTGATGCCTTGGGTCCGATGTGTTTGAGGGCGAGTCAGGTGCCGGTAAACAGACGTTCGCCCCTGCCTATCTGGCGTTCGCCCCTGCTGCCACCCCTGTAACACCTTTTCACCTCTGAAACTCAATCTTGTTTCCAGTATGACACGCTCCTGACGCTCTCCTTCGACCGCCTTCGATGTTCGTGTTTGCCGCTGTTGACTGTCCCGTTCGTCACCTTTGACGCTCACCTTCCCCTCTGACGTTCGGCTTTACCTTGTTTCAGGCTGATGCGGTGAACATGGTGTCTGCGGGCACTGCGCCGCGGGTGCCCCAGACAGAGGAGGGTGCCACCTACGACCCCTTCCTCAATAAGAAGGAACTGGTGCGTCTGGACACCGAGAGACCGGCCGAGGACATTCACAACTTTATCCGAGGACTGGACAGCTCGCCCGGTGGGTGGGAGAGAGAGAGAGAGAGGGGAGGGAGAGAGAGAGAGAGAGCGAGAGAGCGAGAGTGAGCGAGAGAGAGAGAGAGAGAGAGCGAGAGAGAGAGAGAGCGAGAGAGAGAGAGAGAGAGAGAGAGAGAGAGAGAGAGAGAGAGAGAGAGAGAGAGAGAGAGAGAGAGAGAGAGAGAGAGAGAGAGAGAGAGAGAGAGAGAGAGCGAGAGCGAGAGCGAGAGCGAGAGCGAGAGCGAGAGCGAGAGCGAGAGCGAGAGCGAGAGCGAGAGCGAGAGCGAGAGCGAGAGCGAGAGAGAGAGAGAGAGAGAGAGAGAGAGAGAGAGACGGAGACGGAGACGGAGACGGAGACGTCTGTGGGAGGGGAGGGAGGGAGAGACGACGGCTCAACTGCCAAAGTCATGATTTGTTTTGTTTGGTGCCCGGCGTTGCAACCCTCCGTATGTGTTCAGAGTAAACAGTACCGACACTTCTCGTAGCTGTTTGTCGCGCCGGTTATTACGGAAAAGCCGAACTGGCTATGCCACGCCGGAGCCCCTCCGTCGTTTGGCCTCTCGGTTGTTGATAGATTCCCCTCATATGGTTGCGTCAGCATATGCCACATTAGTGCCCAATGACCCTATATCCCGGCTAGACGAGTCTGCAGGGCTGCCGTCCATAGGAGTTTGATTCATAAATGACGATGTCATGGTCCATCTCGCAGTTACACTTAACCGTTTTACTCCGCTGCAATTCAACAAAGTCGAACACAAAAGACGAATGTTTTTTAGGCCTAAAAAGGTTACCCTTCCATCCGTCTCCATCACTGATCCATCTGCCTTCCCTGTCTCCAGTACTGACCTTTTCCTTCGCTGCCCTGCTCACCCCACCGCTGATCACTTCGTCTCTTCATTTCTGAAACTCATTTCCTCCCCGTTCTTACCACTACCCCGCCCCGCCCCTGCCTCTGTGAATTTCCCCGTCTTCCTGTCCCCACTGCTGACAGCTCTCCCCCTACCCTGCAGGAGCCTGGATTATGATGGACGGTAAGGAGACCAAGCTGTACGGCTCGAAGCGGTTCTCGGGGCCGAAGCCGACCGGCACCGAGGTAGCCATCGAGGGCTGTGACCGGCCGGGCGTCATCTGCTCCCACGGTCTCGTCATCACCGGCTCGGACGGCAAGATGGTGAGCGAGGCTGGGGAACGGGCTGCCGGCCAGGGACTGGGTGGTGTGCAGGGTCCCTGGAGGCTCTGGCAGACGTAGCGGGTCGAGTCGTGTGATAGGAAATGTTGACCTTTCCCGCTGCCCGTCCACCACCATCGCCGTCGCTGTTCGCACTGGTCCTCCCCTCCCGTCACCGTCTCCCGCGCCCGCCCCTCGTAAACCGCCCTCCCCCTCTTCGCCGATGGCTAAAGAGAGTAGCAGTGCCTCGTGATCGTGTCAGCTGCGTTTTCTTAGAATTGTGAATTGCTTGCGATGGGAGGACATTCAGTAGAAGATAGTGAGAGCTACTGTTTATTTGCTTTGTGTGACTACTTCGAATCTGCAGTTAGTTTTCCTCAGTTTGCATTTTTCGTGTAGCCAGCCGTGGGTGGTAGCTGTGTTCTGATAGATCTCTGCCGGCTGCCTATTTTACTGTGGCGATCTGACACTGGCCGTGCCTCCATCAGGTATCGGTGGCGCGTCTCTCGGTCGAGGGTAAGTTCGTGCAGGCGGCCAAGTACGGCCAGGCGGAGGAGACCCGCGAGCGACTCGAGCTGACAGCCGAGGAGACGGCCGTGGCAGACGACCTCCGGAAAACCTGGGCCGACATCCTGAAAATCGACGTCAGCGACGAGACAGACTTTTTCGTGGCCGGCGCCGGCAGCATGGACGTCGTCAGGTAGACTGAAGGGAACGGGGAGTGGGACGTAAACTGCGAGATGTTTTTGGCCGGAGTTTTATTCTTTTTGTTTAGTGCTTAGCCTCCGTGCTATGTTTTGTGACGGGCTAGCCTTACGATGGCATTGGTGAGACAAATCAGACTTTTGTGTGTTAGTTTTAATTCTGAAGGACTACTTTCCCCTTTCCCCTTTTTTGTGATTTAACATGAAACATTTTTCGTGAATGATTTTTTTTTTACAATCATGAAAGCATAACGATATGACTATAACTATAACTATATGACTAAGAGGTCTATGTCATAGACCTCTGTACACCAGGTTTACAGAGGTCAATGGACCTGTCAATGATCGACGGAATGAGATGCTTCTTAACAATGGTCGACAAAATGAGAAAAGTCCAAACGCTTCTCCTGGCACCATAATGCGCCAAAGATCGCGCCCCCTGACCTGATCACCATGCCAGACCGCCCTGCCGACCCGTTCCCCCTTTCCGCCCTGATGTGACCCCCTCCCTCTCGTCAGGCTGCTGGAGGAGGTGAAGATGAAGTCGGGTGTCGAGCTGCAGAACGAGGACGTCTTCATGGCCTCCAAGTTCGACGACTTTGTGCAGACAGTGGTGTTTGTGTCTCGCGGCGGCAGTCTGAAGCCCGAGTTCACCTATGACGCCATCAAGATGCACGTCAACAACATGGACATCTCGTTCCCGCACCAGGTCAGGGGGCCGAGAACCGCGATAGAGACGGACGGAGGGAGCGGATTCAGTGTGCTTTGGGTCATAATGCCTCGTATATCGGTTCATGCTCAATGGGTTTACTACATATTGCTCATTTTTGATATCTTTTTCTCTCGAAGGGTGACTAGAAGTCTTTCACAATGTTATCGCTGCTCGTTGAATCAATTTAATTAAGCCTCATTGCCCGGCCTAAGCTCCGCCAATGGGATGTCTTGTTCAGTAATTAGTCGGTGTATGCGTGTTCCCTGAATGACAATTTTCAAGTATTCCAATCATCTCATCAGCAATATTCTTTTCAACAATTTTCGAAATGTTTTTTTTTTTATTATGTGCAGTGTGCACACTGCATGCCGTCCTTGGCTCAGCTAATCATTTAGCATCCATTGTGACCTGTCACCACCTGTGTCCACAGATCTTCATCAACAACGAGTTCACGGAGAGCAGCACGGGTCGACAGATTACCTCCATCAACCCGGCCGACGAGTCGCCCATCTGTGACGTAAGGGCGGTGTTATAAACAGGGAAGGGGGGGGGGGGCAAACACCAGATCACCCTCATCAACCCGGCCGACGAGTCGCCAATCTGTGACGTAAGGGCGGTGTTATAAACAGGGGAGGGGTCTAACACGGTTCGACGGATCACCTCCATCAACCCGGCCCATCCCGGGCCATCTGTGACGTAAGGGCGGTGTTATAAACAGGGGAGGGGTCTAACATGGGTCGACGGATCACCCTCATCAGCCCGGCCCATCTGTGACGTAAGGGCGGTGTTATAAACAGGGAGGGGTCTTATCTCACACGGTTCGACGGATCACCCTCATCAGCCCGGCCCATCTGTGACGTAAGGGCGGTGTTATGGGCAGCGAAGGGGGTCTCACGGGCGAACGATTCCTGCATTTGTGACGTAGGTGCTGAACGAGAGAAAGGCAGGTGAGGGGCGGTAGCAGCAATTGCATTGGGATGTCAGTTAATGGAAGTGATTATAGTCGAGGTCTCGACATCGTTATATGCACCAGCGATGCTGGTCCTTTCTGGAGGGCTAAGACTGCTCGTGTTTGGCTGGGTGTGCGTCAGACTAGTTAGCTGAACCACCTTTTCCCTCCAGCTGTCTCCAATAGCTGACCTATCCGTGCTTCTATCCTCAGGATACTGAAATCCTTCTCCTCCAAGCCGCAACCCCCCTCCGGGCTGGACAGGCAACTTTAACTCATGCGGGCTGCTCCCTTGGAGCGGCACCGCTGCTCCTGAGGGAGCGCACCCCGTAGCCGGGTGCAGTGAGTGCCTTGGGGCTGGGTGGCCTGTCCTCTGGACGGGCTCAGCCCCGGCGACTCACTAGGGTGCCTGCCCAGACCATTGTCTCCCCCTAATTCCTATAATCCTTCCGGCTCTGCAATGGTCTTGTCGACCGAAAGGGCCTAACCCAACAAAACAAACAAAACCAATAGCCAACGTCCATTGAGCTGCTCCGGTGACCTCAGTTCCGTCCGTTGCCGACAGGTGGCGCGGTCGTCGCCGTCCGATGTGGACCGCGCTGTGAGGGCGGCGCACGAGGCCTTCACCGAGGGCGAGTGGGGCAAAATGAACGCCAGGGACCGCGGCGCGCTCATGTTCAAGTGAGTGTTTCGTCTCGGGGAGAACCGAATCCCTTGCCACTTGTCGGGCCTGACACTGAAATCGTCACAATTGCTGAGGTCCATATTTCCTCTTTCAAATGTGCACTTTGCAGTTCCTATACGAGATAAACCAACCCTTATTCCTTCATTGTTCTGCATACTGCTCCGTTTAGCGCCAATCTTAGAGGCTGGCCGAGTGGATAAAAGCGCCGGAGTTCGACGCTTATCCGGAAGTGAGAGCCCGGTTCAAGCCCCGGTGCGGGCGGCTACATTTAGCTCCTACGTGTAATGGCGTGCGTGTCTGTGGCAGGGGCCGCACAGAAGCCAGGTAACGTGAGTGAGCGGAGGGGACCGTGTCCAGTCGTTAGGGCACGTTAAACGTTCGGACAAAATTCTGCCATACAACTGGAATAGCGCGATCGGGTGGTGGGGTCAGGGTCAGCACAACAAGCTATGCTTAGTGCGGGCTCTGATTCCTCAAATCCACCCATTCAGCCATTCGGACTAAATTTATAAAAAAAAAAAAAAAAATCCGCGTACCCGCCCCTCAGACTAACCCGTGCCCGTATTATTTGAGGGGCGTCGTACATGCCCCTCTATCGACTGGCCGACCCATCCCAGCCTCTAACAGATTGACTGGCCCTCCCACTTCTCTCTCTCTCTCTCTCTCTCTCTCTCTCAGACTGGCCGACCTGATGGACCAGCACAAGGAGGAACTGGCCACCATCGAATCCATCGACTCTGGCGCCGTCTATACGCTGGCACTGAAGACGCACATCGGCATGTCCATTGACACGTGGCGCTACTTCGCTGGATGGTGCGACAAGATCCAGGGCAAGACGATACCGATCAACAACGCCCGGCCCAACCGGAATCTGACCATCACCAAACGCGAGCCCATCGGGTCAGTGGGAAGGCAGGGAGGGATAGAGCGAGCCTCGAGAAAGGGAGGAAGGGAGGAGCCTATATGTGGGAATGGAGGAACTTGTATCTCATATATGTTTTCAGTTATTTGTCCGCTAGCTAGCATAAGTGACATAAATAATGTCCGATTCCGTCCATTTTCATGAAAGATAAACAGTCTAGGACTTGTACTTGTCCATTGAGCTGACCCATCCCTGCTCTTCCCTCAGTCTGACTGACTGATCGTCCTACTTCTCCCTCAGACTGACCCGTCCTCTCCTAGACTGGCCGACCCGTCTCTATCAGTCTGGCTGACCCTCCCACTTCTCTCGCAGACTGGGACCGCGGCGCGTTATCTTGGCTGCCGGGGGCAGCTGGTCAGGGGCGGCAGAACAGTCCTGCCGGTCCCCTGCGGGTTCCGCAGGGATCCATAGCCGGGCCGATCCTCTTCAGCCTGCTAACGAACGACCTGCACTGCCTTCTTTCTCGCATTCGGTACTACCGGACTGTCGGATGATCGCATATGCTGACGATGACGATGCCCAGCTGCTCGATCACTCGCGTCCTGACCCTCAAAATTTAGCATCACTAAAACAACGTGTCGAAAACTCCTTGGATGTCATGAAACACTGGTTTAGCTCAAATTCTCTTAAAATGAACCCTCAAAAGACCGACTTCATTCTCATCGGAACCCGCCAGACTCTCAGCAAGGTCGAAAACTTTCATATCTGCATAGCTGAGTCAGTCTTAAAACCGTCACCAACCATCAAATTGTTGGGGGTGACTGTCGACTCGTGTTTGGCCTGGGACGCCAACATCAGTCACATCGTCAGGAGGTGCAATGCCCTCCTCATATCCCTCTCCAAGTTCCGCCACCATTTTGACCAGGAAACGCTAAAGTTACTCATTGAGACCCACGTGTTCCCTCACATTCTGTACTGCATTTCGGTGTGGGGCGGAACCACAAAAAATCAACTCACTCGGATCCAAAAACTCATCAACTTCAGTGCTCGGATCGTGACAGGCGTGCGGCGTCGGGAGAGGATCGGGCCGGCTCTGGCATCCCTGGGCTGGCCCAGAGTGGAGCGGCTGGTGTGGGAGAGGGACCTACTGAAGGTGTGGAAGGCGCTCCACATACCAGCTTACCCTCTCTCCATCCGCCGCATGTTTGTGTCCCGCTCTGAGGTGTCTGGCCGGGTCACACGCTCTGTAGAAGCTGGCGCCCTGGAGCTGCAGAAGTGTAGGCTCTCTTCCACACAGAGAACGTTTAGTTACCGCGCTGCTGCTGCGTGGAACCGGCTGCCGCCGGCCATCAGGGAGCAGCCCACGCTGACCGCGTTTCGCCGCGCAGTGGCGGCCAGCGAAGCCTGAGATCTTGGGGTGCTGTGTTTTATTCCGGTTTTAGTGCAATTAGTTGTCTTATTTTATCTGCCAGTGCCTATTGCCTTCTTGCATTTTACTGTATTGTGCATGACGCTGAATCCTGAAAAACCATGTTATGTGGATGGATTTTAGATCAATACATACATACATACATACATTTTCCTACAGTTTGTCGACTCCTACTCGACTCTGATGTTACCTCTGTTGAAATGGTTGGCCGTTCTGACGGACTCCCATCTCCCCCGCAGTGTGTGCGGCCTGGTGACGCCCTGGAACTACCCCCTGATGATGCTCTCCTGGAAGATGGCCGCCTGTCTAGCGGCCGGTAACACTGTGGTCATCAAGCCCGCCCAGGTGTCCCCGCTCACGGCGCTGAAGTTTGCCGAGCTGGCGGTCCGGGCCGGCTTCCCGCCGGGCGTCATCAACGTGGTGCCCGGATCAGGTCAGTCTGCTGCCGATCAGCGGTCGGGTCAGGTCAGTTTACTGCCGATCAACGGTCGCGTGAGGTCAGTTTGCTGCCGATCAGCGGTCGGGTCAGGTCAGTCTACTGCCGATCAGCGGTCGGGTCAGGTCGGCGCTGATCAGCGGTCAGGTCGGGTCAGTCAGCCGATCAGTGGTCGGGTCAGGTCAGTCTGCCGATCAGCGGTCGGGTCAGGTCAGTTCACTGCCGATCAGCGGTCGGGTCAGGTCAGTCTGCCGATCAGGGGTCGGGTCAGGTGGGCCAGCGACCGCGTGACGCCGTTTCTGCATGTGAACACCGAATACTCATGTTTGGTAGATGTAGTTGCTTCGCCATGTCTACTGAATTTCACCTACACTTTTGTTTCATATATCTGCAAATCAAAGCTCGTCAAGTATCGCAGCTCCATTTCTCGTGGCGAATTAATTGCCAACTCTTGCAGATAGGAGTCACGTCGGTCCGCGCCTGCTCTCGGCTCCACCACACTCAGTTCCGCTTACCTCTCTCTGTCTATTCGCCAGGCGGCGAGTGCGGTCAGGCGATAGCTGACCACCCGCTGGTGCGCAAACTCGGCTTCACCGGCTCCACTGAGATCGGCAAGGTCATCATGAAGTCGTGCGCAGAGTCCAACCTGAAGAAGGCCTCGCTCGAGCTCGGCGGCAAGTCGCCGCTCGTCATATTCGCCGACTGTGACATGGACAAGGCCGTGCGCATGGTGAGTCGCCGTCGGCACCGGCGGGGGTACTGGAATACGGCGGAAATGGGGGGACCTCGAGCCTCAATGTCTCTGACGCTCGATATTGAACTTCATGATGAACCTTGTTTTTTTTTTTTTTACTTGTCTGTCGTCTTTCGCTGATTGCAGTAATTGTCTGCGAATGCTGTGATTTGACAAGTTGATTGGAAAATTTGATACTGTCTGTAGCGTTAGCTTGGCTCATGTGACGGAAGCGCAGTCGGCTCTTTAATAATATGGGACCGATATGGCTCTCAGTCTCTGACTCTCTAACGAGCTGGTACAGTGTGTAAATACTGTGTATACCTTAGCCTGTGCTGTTACAGATCGCAATCATGCTCCATTCTCTTCACAGGCAACTAGTGAATGTGGGGCTCCTAAACCTAGGCTATGCTTGCTTATTTCCACTACTTTTGTTATTGATTAGCTGATGAACAGGTATTGAAGTCATTATAACTTCGCAACCCGTTCACCGCCGGCAAACATTTATCCATCATCACCGGCACTGTACAAACAGTAGTGGCTGTCCGTACTGCAAGTCACGATATAAAAAAACGTCATGTGTGGCGGATGAGTAAAAAAAAGGCAGAACACACTCAAAAGACTTACCCCTTACCAGTTCCTTTCAGCCTTTCCTTTCCCCTCTCTGACGTCACGTGTCGCCTCTGGTGACGTCAGTGGCTGATTTGCGCCCGTGTGACCGACTGGGCGCCAGCTGCGCGCACCACAAGTGTGGGCCGTCGGCGGCGTCAGCGGAGCCGCTCCCCACGGCGACACAATACCCGCAGACTCAATATCCGCCGGCGAGCTGTTTAATATCGCCCCCGATGGGACGGCGACGGACCGAGGGCCGCTCAGGTGGCTCGTTGAGCTGCGAGAGGCCCCGGGCGGCAGCGGCTCAGCGGCTCATTGAGCCAGGAGTGGCACCGTATCGGTCAGATGAGGGCGGCGGAGGAGCGCATTCTGCATATTGTAGAGCGGTATCCATGTGGGAGCTTAGTTTGATTGGTTTTGGATCTGATCGGGGTGTATGTCTTACTCTTATGATCCATTTTGAGAACAGTACCTGTCTGCAAGAGGGCATGTCTGAGTGAGAATCACTCGACATATTGGATATTCAACTAGTGGTTGGAGTATCGCACATAATAAATAGATTGGCTTTGTATGAACCAAAGTGAGACGGGGCTGTCTCCTCCTTTTCGTGGTGATTTCGTGTGTAGAGAAAAGATTGACCTACCCTCAGCCCACCGTTATCCATTGCATTGCTGTCTACCGCCACCACTGCTCTGATTCGACTCTGTCTCCCCCTCAGGGTATGAGCAGTGTACCTCAGTGAACACCAAGGACTCGACCCCATGACTGGCCTGACCCGGCCCTGTCCCCCGCAGGGTATGAGGAATGTATTACCCTACAAGACTGCCATGTCCCGACCCTGCCTCCCCCTCAGGGTCTGAGCAGTGTGTTATCCAACACCGGCTCGCTGTCTGCTGCCACCATGACTATCCTGACCCGACATGTTCTCCCCCTCAGGGTATGAGCAGCGTCTTCTTCAACAAGGGCGAGAACTGCATTGCGGCCGGCCGTCTCTTCATCGAGGAGTCCATCTACGACGAGTACCTGCGCAGGATTGTCGAGGAGATCGGCAAAATGGTGAGTGAAGTCGACAACCGTGCCTGGGGGAGAGGTAACAGCTTCGCGTCCTCGAGGGTAATGTCTTTTGGTGTCGGCGACGGGCGATCTTCGAATGACCGGTTCTGGACAAAGTTTGCTGGTGGAATACTTGTCGGATATTGTAAGTTATGGGGAGAGTCCACTGCTGGGATGCTCGTGGCGGTAGTTTGCTCTTGGAATGGCTAACCATTGGGCTGGTCGTGAAGGTAGTTTGACCGGGGGCATTGACAGGTTAGTTGTATCTTGTAGGCTGTTTCGTGATAGTCGACCGCTGCCTGAACTGCCATCGAGCCCCTATGCTCGTCCGGGGACCGACAATATCTGTTCAGTTCAACAATGCAGTTCAACAATGCAATGTTCGACAATGCAGTTCAATATCTGTTCGTCCGGTGGTCGTTCGGCTCTGGGCCTTTAGTAGCCTGTCTCACTGGCCTCTGACGGGCGGCGGGCGGGGACCACTCTCTGAGATCCCTCGTGGACACTGGTCACTGGTGACCACCCTCGGCCCGTTCCCTGGCATCCGTCCACTCCCGTGACTCAGCACGAACGTATCAGGACTGGTAGAATCGGGAACGGGTAACGGGGACAGGGACACAGGTGCTGCACATTCCGAAAAACGGCTCCGTCACCGCCAGCCACCCGCCTGGCAAGGCGAGCTGCTACTGCTGACTAGATACGATCGCTGGCTAAGGCCACTGAAGGTCAAACAACATAAACATGTATATTGTGTGGCTTATGGATACCGTAACTGGAGAATAACTGGAGCGTGACGTATCGTCGATGAAATCGCTAAGCATTCTGAGCGTGGGCCGTCTTCCGCTAGATCATATGTGGAAAAGAAAACTATCGGAAATGTCAGGTGTATCGCAACTTTAGCGTTGGGTCTTCGTTACTACGAGTTTCCAAATGCGGTGGCTTTTTGGCTATTCTGAGAATATCTTGTTTTTCTCTCCCCATTCACGATGGATAGCAGGAAGTGGCAGCTGGACTATTATGCACATGCTCACTGTCTCCTGCCGCTAGCACCGATGCCCGGTCGGTCCCCACCCGGCGCATGTCCAGTCCCCCTGGGCCATGGCTCCGTGCCCCTTGGTGTACGGCACGGTGCCGGAGGGTTTCCTGGGCTCTCCGGCTGTCAGCGTGGCCGCTGGGTCATGGTTTCGCCTCAGTACCGGCCCGGCAGCGTAGCCGGTTTGAAGTTGGGGCTGTATATATGTACAGTGAATTGTGTGTGTTTTTTGGGGGTGGATTTGGTCTCAGTGGGTGACATTGTAGCTGATGTGCGAGAGTGGTGGCACGATTTTCGGTGGTAACAGTATCTTGTACGAGTATGTGGACGGTGGGTGGTGTTCAGCAGTAGGTCTGATGGCGATGGGACATTGAGGTCTGAGGATGAAGTTTCGAAACTTAGACCGCGGCAGGATAGACATTGTTTGGACTTTTGGGAAGCTCATTAAGTCTGCAATGACGATTCAGGTGCTCACGGTGTAGGATCTGCTGGTGGAAAGCTTGTTCACCTGATTGGCAACAGGTTAAACGCCTTGGAATAAAGAACCATTTATCTTTGGTTTGATGTGGGCCTATCACAGCAGTGACGTAGCTCTAGTTCCATCAGCTGGTTTTAATGCCCTTTTATGCTCGGGCCGCTGCCGCCTGCAATCGACATCTTTTCAAACTGGCTCAACTTGAGACCTACGTTAGTGGCCTTTAATTACACATTAAGGTCACTGGATAGAATCTTAATTAATCTCTGCTCGACGGTTCATGAGAGATCATTGTTGGCTGGGATTGTTCCAGCAAAATTACGGCCTAAATCTGATTCACTGACGAATGACGATATAATGTGCACTTCAATTGTAGTTATTGATTCCAACGATCAGGGCTGCGGAGTAGGAGTCGGAGTCGGAGTCGGAGTCGGTCGGAGTCGACAGTTGTGCCCGGAGTCGGAGTCGGAGTCGGAGTCGATTTTAGAAACCCGAGCCGGAGTCGGAGTCGGAGTCACCGAAAATCTGTCGACTCCGCAGCCCTGCTAGGTCTGCGGAGTCGGAGTCGGGAGTTGGAGTCGGTCGGAGTCGACAATTCTGCCCGGAGTCGGAGTCGGAGTCGGAGCTGGTTTTTGAAAGCCGGAGTCGGAGTCGGGGTCGGAGTCGCCGAAAATCCATCGACTCCGCAGCCCTGCCAACGATGTTGCCTTTTCGGAAGCAAAGGCACTTAACCCTATTCCTGGCGGGCTCCGCCGGGACAAGAAACTGGCGGGGGGGGGGCCGATTCGGCCCCCCCCCCTGAGATCTCGAGAACGAAGCAAGATAGCGACAAGCGGTAAACGGCATCGGATACGCATGGACAAGGTCTACAATTTTTACTAAGGTCATTTTCAGGTCAGGTCAAAGATGACGTCACAGGGGTCGAAAAAGTCAAAATGGCGGCGCTAGATATGGAGAGTTTTTCTCGAATAAGTTTCGAATTAGTCAAGATAGGAACAAACTAAGGGCATCATCGTGATCCTCTCGTCAATCCGCATCGAATGATATATATGTTGACCTCGAAAGGTCAAGGTCAAAGGTTGACCTCAGGTCACGTGACCTCGAGGTCATCATGTATATCATTCGATGCGTCTTGACGAGCTGAACACAATGAGACCATCCACGCGTCTGTATCTTGTTCCTGTACGGAGTTATTGGCCAAAAACCTTTGGTGACCTTTGATGACGTCACATGACCTCACAGCTGCCCAACAGCAAAACAGACCTCAAGGTAGTGAAGGTTGATCGTATATGAAGTCATGTATGGTATATGGGGCCATTCCGACCCGTTTTAGTGGTAAAAACAGGGAGTTGATTTTTCCCCCATTGACTTATAATGGGGAGGTCGCGAAACTGACCTGACCTTAGGTCACCGATATCAAAATTCCGAGATATACAAATTGCACATACTGGTACCCTAACTAAAGCCTGAAGAGAAGAAATTGATCGGTTAAAAACTCTAGCTCTGGCGTGATTGCAAACTTTTCTGAGGTAGGGTCACCAAACCGCCTCTGGTGACCTGACCTGAGGTCAGATCAACTCAAAATTTTCAGACATGTTGCGTAGAAGCCTTTTAGGAAAAGTCAGAAAATTTGAGCTTCCTAGCTCAACGCGTTTGGGAGAAATAACCAAAAAACCTCAGGGGGGGGGGGCTCCTGAGGCCCCCCCCGCCAGGAATAGGGTTAAATGGTATATTTGGAATAGGGTAGGGTCTTGTAGACCTGTCTGTATAGTATGCAGTCTCACTTCACAGACCACGTAATGAAACATGCTCGGGGCTGGTAGAAAACACAATATCCTGTGTTGGTGTAAACTTGTTCTGTAACGCCGTCTTAGAATAATGGTGTTTCATCAAACAGTAACCTTTCGGCTGTATGTGGTGATGCTCACTAGTCGTCGGTGTAGTGAGGTCAGACATTGCGGACGGAGCTAGGTAGCCTGGGGGATCCTGTTTCGTCTATGTCTATGGCCCATACCGAACATTGTACAGTCGTGTACAGGTTGATGGTCCCGTACTCTTTATCCACCGGGTTCCTATGGCTCAGCATTAGCAGCAGCCGCCTGGTACCGGTAGGCTGTGACGCATGACCCGAGAGTGAAGCGGCACAGTCTACCCACGCCGTTTGACATCGGCTCGGGTCGCTGGGTGGAGCGCTTTGTAGACCAGCTGTCGCGTCAGACCAGCGCGGGGGGAGGGGCTCGTCTCGGTGGTTGGCGTGGGCTGGCGAGTGGTGTGGGGCGTGTTGGTGGACCATGGGGTCTGGGCGGGTGTGTATGGTCACTTGCTGCATTGCACATTTTGCGTCGCTTAACAATTGCATTCCTGTTTTTGCTAAGCACAATGCACGGAAGACCCAGCAAATATAATTTACTTGTGCATTGTGCAAAACGTGATTTGGCACGGTATCGAGGCAGCCATAGGTCTTGTGTCACATATATGCATGATATTTAGGCAATACGCTTATGAAAATGGTAAATTGATCGGATTGATCCTGGATGTCAATTCGTATGCTAAATGTCGACATGTATTAAATGAACGAATGAATGAATCAATCAATCAATCGACAATCGACATGTAGATATAAAACCGTATAAATGGCTCGCAACCACTAAAATCAAACCAGATCCTAACTCGGAAAAGTAGCCGGACCCACGATGAGCCTCGAACCGGGACTCCACGTTGAAAGTTTTGCCAATGATCCATCATCATTCCACCAAGCTAGAGCGACCGGCACCCGAGACCACAAAAACATTCATTGACTTTGCTGCCGACTTCCCGGCCCCGCCGCCCGCCCGGCCAGACTTTGCCCCGGCCGTGGCCACCATCCGGTGTAGCTCAGCGTAGGAGTGTTAGACTGTCAAACTGACCGGTAGTGAGAGGCCCGGTTCGAGACGCTTCGCGTGCTGGATGTTTATTTCTGTGTCCGAGGCTATGCGATTAGTCCACTTTTCAGAAAGATTATTTGGTGACAAGTCTGTTTTCTTTCTTTGCTGCAATTCATGAGGAGACCGTATGGACCCTTACCTGTCCTTCCGCACCCCACTTGAGAGATGGGTGTTTGAACCCCCATGGGTTTTGTGAATATCTCTAAAGCGAATTTTTGGAGGGTGGATTACGATCGGTTCTATGCGACAAGTGACCACACACACTCAGCCCCAGGTCCGCTCACTCCCTCCCCACATCACCCCCGCCCCACACCACACTCCAGCCCGCCTCATCCACCGAGCCGAGCCAAATAGACAGGCCTGACCATTACATCCCCCCCCCCCCCCCACCCCAGCCGGTGTAACGCAGCGTCCGGTCAAATCGCTCTACCAGGCGACCCGAGCCGGTGTCATACAGTGTGGGTAGGCTGTGCCGCTTCACTCTCGGGTCATGCGGCACAGCCTACCGGTACCAGGCGGCTGCTGCCAATGCTGATTGCTGAGCCATAGGAACCCGGTGGATAAAGAGTAGCGGACCATCAACCTGTACACGACTGTACGGTTTCGCGTATTGTGTAGATTAACCCGCGCGGGGCTGGGGGGTAAATTTTACCCCCCTCGCGAATTTTTGCAATATCTCAAAAACGGCGGCGCGCAGCGCCGCCAAACTTTCAGTACCTTTTCTTACATCAATTTGACACGTTCCCTGAAAATTTGAGCGAAATCCGTCGGAAAATTTTTGAGAAATTGACGTTTTAGTGACGTCATGTTCGCCATTTTTCGCCTCAAAACGGCAAAAGTTCAAACGCCGCTAACATCTTCATTTTTAAAGGAATCAAGACGTAACAAAAAAATGATATACGTAATTCTACTTTGTCTATCAAATGGCTATCTCCGTTTTTTGAAAATGTTGGATTTTGGCCCAATTTTTTTTTTTAAAACTGACTTTTTTGGGAAAATAATTATAAAATCCAAAATTTTGAGTGTATCGAAAAAACCGGAATATATGTCAGAGAAGTGGTCTATGTGCACCTACATACCAAGTTTTAGAAGAATCGGTTCAAAAATGTGGGAGTTATTCAAAATTTTATGACGTCACGACACACAAAAATTTTGGAAAATAACTTTTTTGTAAGTTCTAGACCTCGTACGGAAACAAAAATAGCACCATTCGATTCGCCGTGAAAAACTGCATCAGATAGACACCTTTTTAGGCCTTAACAACCAACTTCAAAATTTGACCTCACTTGACCTGACCTTGACCTGACCTCGACCTGAAATTCATCCAGAGGTGGTCCATATCACTTATTGAGTGTGCCTATTGAATTCTATGAGTAAAATGACCCATAAAACATGAGTCGCACATGCCCTTTTCTATATTTTGTTTTTGGTGACCTGACCTGACCTGACCTGACCTTGACCTTGACCTCTGAATGATATTGTATGCAACGAATATTGTCTTGGTAGCCTAAGAACACGTTTTGGGCGATCAGTCTCAGTCCATGACTCCATTCTTCGGCAACTACGGTGCAAGGCCGATACTGTAGGAACTTGCAATTTGTACCCTTGACCTGACCTTGACCTTGACCTCAAACTTAAAATTAAGTACATGTTTTTAGTTGTTCGTGATGAGATCTTTCGATTGGCGTTTGAATTTTCCAAATCGGACCATTAGTTCGGGAGATAACAGGGGGGGGGGGGTAAAATTTACCCCCCCCCCAGCCCCGCGCGGGTTAACTAACCTCCTGCCCTTTTGCGGACAGACGATCGGCGACCCGCTGGACCGTTCCACGCAGCACGGCCCGCAGAACCACCTGGCCCACCTGCAGAAGCTGCTCGAGTACGTCGACATCGGCGTCAAGGAGGGTGAGTTGCCGCTCCACCGTGTGTGACGTCATCTGCAGGCGTGACGTCACTGGATGGTAATACGGCTGAGAGCTTTCGGGAAGCCATTAGTGGGCCGGCTTTCGTCTCGTTGAGGGATGACTGCCCGTGCTCCTCGCATATTCCCCGGTGGGGTGCTCTCCTTCTTTCCTCTTCGCTCTGTCATCCGTGGCCTACCTCAGATGGGATTTGCGAGATCTCTCTACATGATGCCTTTCCTGTTAATGAAGTTCCACTCACCTCGTGGTCAACCTTCCTATGCCACTCAAGTTAACACCCGTGAATTTTCGTAATTGTTTCACGATCCGTATCTTCCCCAAATATTTAATAATAGCCCACCGGCTTCTTTCATTTTGCGGTTTCAGATTATACCAGTACCTACCAACAAGTGTCAGCTTAATGGCATCGATTCGTTTCACTGCACCTGTCTACAGACCATATTCCTGTTATAATCCCCCCCCCCCCCCCCACACACACACACACCACCACACGCACTCACGCACTGACGCATCTGTCCCTTCCCCGTCCGGCCGTCAGGCGCGCGTCTGGTGGTCGGTGGGAAGCGCGTGGACCGGCCCGGCCTGTACATGGAGCCCACCGTGCTGGCAGACGTCGAGGACCACATGTTTATCGCCAAGGAGGAGTCGTTCGGACCCATCATGGTCGTCTCAAAGTTCGCAGAGGGGTGAGTGGGGGGGGGGGGGGGCTCGACACTAAACTCTGGCTTCTATTTGTTGCGCGAACTTACGTCCTTTGACAGACGCTTTTGTGTGTTGGGCTGTTTTCGTTCAGTGTTGTTGCACTGTTTTGATAAGTGCGTGGTGCGGACGCTGTTTTACACTGTTTGTTCAGATGTTGATACCTGTGTAGCGCGAAGGTCGCTGTTCAGTGTTTTGCTGCGTTTTATTCAGGTGTGATAACTGCGTGGCGCGGAAGCTGTTTTGCGCTGTTTGTTCAGGTGTTGATAGCTGTATGCCGTAGAGGCTGTTCCGCGGTGTTTGTTCAGATGTGTGTAACTCGGGGCGAGGTGGCTGAACCGCTGCCCTGCCCGCTCCTCTCGGAGCTCAGGCGCCAGTCGTGATGACACACTCACGGCGACTGTCGAGTGGCTCACAGGTGCGGCGTGTGTTAGGTACGGTGTTGAGAGAGAGGTTGGGCAAGATAGCGTGGGTGTTGTGCGTACGCTGCAGCTGGGATTTCCTCGCGTCGTGTGTCCTTCCCGGCTGCCCTCCAAGCGCCGGGCCCGGGCAGCTGTGTGACGAGGGACGGATACCGACCTGTCATTTTCCGGCTGATCGGCTCTCTGACCAAGTCTGCTAGTACTGCCCGAGCCCGCTGACAGAGACTGTTGACCGAGACTGCTGACCTGCTGACCGAGACTGCTGACCTGCTGACCGAGCCTGCTGACTGATTGCCAATTTCACAGTGACAGAGGGTGTAATCCTACCCCCTCTACTCAATAGTGACTTGGAGGGTGTAATCCTACCCCCTCTACTCAATAGTGACTTGGAGGGTGTAATCCTACCACCTCTCTATTTCTCAGTGACGTGGAGGGTGTGATCCTACCCCTATTTCACCGTGACAGAGGGTGTGATCCTACCCCTTCTCTACTCCGCAGTGACGTGGAGGGTGTGGTTCGACGCGCCAATGACACCGAGTACGGCCTGGCCTCTGGCGTGTTCACGCGCGACGTGAACCGCGCCCTGTACGTCTCGGACCGGCTCGACGCCGGCACCTGCTTCGTCAACACCTACAACAAGACGGACGTGGCCGCCCCCTTCGGTGGCTTCAAACAGTCCGGCTTCGGAAAGGACCTCGGTACGTCAACCATTAACGTGCTCATGAACATTGATCATGTTATCATTCAGTTTTTTTCCTTAATATTCTCACTGCACTTATTGTTTTTATTGCCAGTCTTTCAGGGCAGTATTGATAGTTTACAGGGTGTCCCATAAGTTCGTCTCATATTATATTCGCGTGTAAGGCGAAGTATATTGCGTTTTGATATATTTATGACACGTCAATGTGCTCCTCATTTCATGGGCAAATGCATGAATACATGCTGCGGCATGCCAACCGGCATGTTTGGCAGCGTAGCAGGCTTGAAGTTAGCCCATACTGACTTGACATTCGCCGTGAGCTCCTGGAGGCTGGAACAGCGCTTCCCTTCGACGAGCCACGATTTCAGTATCCCCAACGTATTTTCATGAAATTTGGATCCCATTAGTTGCCGACATGTGATCTTGCGACAGATGCCTGTCACAGTCTCCTGGCATCATCTTCATGAAGAAGCATTCTGCGTCCCAAAACTGTTTCTAGAGTACCAACCGCATCCTGGGCCAAATCTTACCAATGCCGTGAATAGGATTTGGCAGCAGGGCGGAGTTTACGGCACTGATATCAAAGACATCCTTTTTATTTACATCCAGCTAATCTTGGCCAATGATTTTGATAGCGTGAATGATTATGAATGTTGCCTGAACGAATGAATTGGTGAATGTGGATTGTGGAATAGTTCTGAAAGTTACCAAATGCCGTGAATGCGCATTCACGGCATTTGGGAAGATTGGGCCCTGGTCAGCGTCTGGACGCCTATAACCCCACAATACCGTGACCCTGGCCTTTTTGCATAGGAACAAAGCGGGACGAAACGGTGACCTTCTCTTTCGCCTTTATCGGACCGTTTTAGGGTTTGGTCTCTGGCGGAATATAAGAGGATTGATGATTGCTTACATTTTAATTAGGACAAATTTTTGTTTCAAGAATAGTATCGAAAGGGACTGATCTGATTAAATCTTGTGTTTGCTCCGTTGCGGGATAATGTCTACCCTCTCCGATCGAAAATAATTGCCCTTCTCTAATTAGGCCTTGAAACAGTTTTTTTATATACCAAGGCCTCAGTCTATTCAGCCAAATCACTGGTCTCAGCGAACTGGGTCATAGGCAGGTGTGTCGTTTGAATAGACAGTGAAGTTTTTTGCCGCCACTTGTGAGGCGCGTCCATATGTGTCCAGTCAATGAGTAAGTGTGGCCTGAGCTCCACGCTGGCAGCTGAGTAGGTACAAAGGTCAGGCCACTGACGGTAAATGATAGAATTCAGCTACCGTTATTTCACCCTTGAATTTACGATATCTTCCTGTGTGATTGCAAGCTATCCTGACATTGCGTCGACCTTTGTCGCCATTTGGCGTTCGGATAGTGATTTGTCATGTACGCATCTAACGGAACGGCTGTTACTGACAATTGTAGAAAGGTGTATGTGATGGATGCAGGATTTATTGTTCACCTGAATTGGCTCGAGCCAGCGGTTGATACGCAGTATCCTAGAGAGCTTGTCCCGCCACGAGACTCCTTGTTTCATTACGCAGTCAGTTTGTATTCTTTGTTTCTATCTTATATATGTAATTTGTATAACGGCACCAGTCATCGATACACTAGCCAAATGTCTTTCCAAACCATAATTCAAAGGACGGCTCAAAGGAAGACGAAATAGAAAAACAGGTTGCACTTTGGAACAGAGAAGGATCCTAATTATGGTTAACGTTCACCTCCTGCGTTACCCAAGGGAATACGATACAGTCCATACGTCAGTACTGTTTCTGTCTGACGGCTGATTGGCTGTCGTCGCGGACGGCCGCGACGCTGATTGGTTCCCGGTATCGGTCACGTGACCATGCTCGGCTGACGACAGCCGGCTGAGTGGGGTGATCAGCAGGGCTGAGCTGTAATTTTGCCGTGCTCCCGTCTGTTGAATGTAAATACCTGCGTCAAACTTCATTTGTCAGAGATTTGGGACTTCACCAGTAAGCAGAGTACCTTGTTGGCAGTCATGTCAAATAAACAAATCAACGTTGAACATCGAATGTTTGTGCCATTTACGACCGACGAATGGTCCTTTCGATCCCCAGGTGAGGAGGCACTTAACGAGTACCTCAAGACCAAAACCATCACCTTCGAGTACTGAGTCGGCGCCCGGCTGATGACGTCCCGGTTGTGTGATGACGTCATGACCGTGTGATGACGTCATTGCTACCAACTGAAGATCACTGCGCCGGGCGGACCTAGTTACGCCGCCAACGGACTTACAGGGTGATTCAGAAAAGTGTCCCACATTTGTTTTCTGAATTATTTAAAAACTTGGTAACGCAGACACATGTTTATTGCATCAAAAGAAGCAGCATTTCATGGAGATTTGTTTGGAAGCAGCCAGCATGGCATAACGTGACAGGTGCAGTCAGTGGAGCACGTGCTCCAGATGGCGTCCATTTCGCGACAGGCACAGATCAGCCCTGTGCTTGACTTCTGCTACCACTCGGGCGCAGGTGGCAAGAGGAATCCTGCGGACTTCACGCCCGATGGCAGCCTTTAGATCTTAGAGGTTTTGGGGGCTGCCTTGGTAGACGCGGCTCTTCAGATATCCCCAGAGGTAGAAGTCGAGCGGCGTTAGATCCGGGGAGTGCGCCGGCCAGGGGTGCGCCGTTTTCCGGCTGATCACGCGGGCACAGAAGTGCGTCTCCAGCCACTCGAGGGCGATGTTGGAGGTGTGAGGCGTCGCACCGTCCTGCTGGAACCAGAAGAAGTTTAGCTGTGTCTGGTGTTGAGCTTGTAAGCGTTTCCAGAAGCGATTGAGCGTTGTTGTGTACCGCTCTTTGGTGATGGTGGCTGTCGATCCGTCTTGGTTCTGGAACCAAATGGGTCCGATGATGCCTTTGACGCTGAAAGCGCACCACGCCGTGACCTTTTGGCTGTGGAGTGGCTTTTCCATCACGATATCAGGTCGCTCAGCGGCCCAAATCCTGCAGTTCTGGGTGTTCACGTAGCCATCAAGGTGAAAGTGCGCTTCATCACTGAACCAAATGTTCTCCAGAAAGGCTGGATCGGATGTGCACTTTTCAGAAAACCATCTGGCAAAGCTAGACCGCTGCTCTTGATCGCTTGATGTCAACTTGTGATGAATAGTAACTTTATAGGGCGTAAGTCCAAGGTCCTTTCTAGCGATTCGCCACACAGAGCTGTAGCTACCGTTGACCTCTTGTGCGAGCTTTCGCAGTGATTTTGAGGGGTCGTCGTTGATAGCCGCCTGGACTTTTGCGATGAATTCTGAAGTTCTAGCAGAAGACTTTCTTCCACTCCGACCCTTGTTTAGGTTTCCGACCGATCCCTCTCTCAGGAGCTGTTCACAGAGTCGAAGTATTGTCTTTCTATCTGGAGTTTTCCTTGTTTGAAAATGGGCCCGAAATTTCCGTTGCGTTAAGACGATTGATTTGGTCTCCCAGTAAAACTGCACGACCTTTGCTTTTTGTTCCTTACTCAAAGGCGACATGATTAACAGTGTTCTCACCTACTTCAAATAAATTTACATTGCACGTGCTTACTTTCACAGCAAACGAAACGTGTTTGTGTCGTACCATGCGCTTTGAATTTGAAGATGAAATGTGGGACACTTTTTTGAATCACCCGGTATGTCAAACTACCGAATGTGCTCACTGGCTTAGTAAAAGGTCGGGCGTGTCGAATCGCTCATTGACTCGGTGAAATGTCGGGAGCCAGTGTCGCTCAGTGCCGTCGGAAAGTGCCATCATGCTGATCTGATCGGTCTCATTGCGAGGGACGAGTGACGCGATGAGCCCGTCACGAAATGAACCTCTCTGGTGATCTGATTGATACTTACAAACATCCCTGGCTGTTGGGATGTGTTTAAAGATGTTGTATATAAAGGTCACTAGCGGGCCATGCGTGCTTCCTGAAACCATTCGGGTACTCTGGATCAGGGTTTGACTCTGGACCTATTTTCACCAGCGATGGTATCGCTAACTGTAGCTATTTGTGGACATATAACAGGGATAAAAACTGGTATGGTGCGAATTTTTAGGATATTGTGCGCACCGTGGAAGTGATCGTTGGACCTTGTGTGTGGCCCCGTTTTAATGGGCTGCGCAATATGGGTTAAAGTCGCGTGATGCAGGCTATTTGAGATCTGACTTTTGTTGATATATTTTTACGACGTGTGTCGTTTTCAATGAGTGGTGCGCTAATTTAGTGACTGTTGTTTACTACTTACAACTCTGTTGCGCTTTGCCGTGCATGTAAAGCGCCTTCGGAGGATCGCTTAAGTATTCAGTCATCTCCGTGGTAGCTCACAGTCTGATATCAGTAAGCACAGAGGGGTAGTGAATTTCAATAGTCTCTGAATAACAAATAGTTGTCAGACATCTCATGGATGTGTGTAGGTTTGTGTTTGTTATGGTGCTGCCAGGCGATGGCTGAATCTCGTCTCTGCTACGACTGCCACCGTGTGAGTTTAGACTGGGTTAAGAACTGCCGAGCCGTTATGGGTTTAAGTCTTTTGCTCTATCCCTGGTTGATGTGGAATCCATGGTTCAGAGTATGCTGGTCTTTGTACGTAGAGCTTTCTCCATATGTAAATAAACGGAATATCTGGTTTAGTATTTGCTGTCACGGACAGTTTCTATTGCCAAACGACTGTTTGATTAAAACGCGTCCTAAATATGACGCCTCGTCTTCGCTAGCGTCACTGCTGCGTAGTTTGTAAACTGCGTGATACAGCTATCGTTTTCAGTGACACGTGAATGAGCGATGGCCTCGAGTGGTTTTCCCTTGTTCCTCGCCCATCGACAGCACGTCGTCTTTAGCAACAATGCCTGGGATGGGGTCGTAACAGGTAACTTGTAGTGTATGATGCTTCACGAGTGGTTTGAATAGAATAATTTTGTTCAGGTAGTAGTTATCTTGTCGTTTCTAAGTGAATTTCTTTTGAACGTAAGGTCACATTTGGTGTTCACTTTATTCAGTTTGACGCTTAGCTTGGCATGTTACAGCTACTCTTCATTTCAGGACTGAAGTCTGGTAAAACAGATTTATGCTGCGTTTCTCGGGCGAATATGTTGCTTATTCACACAACACTCGTCCAATCGGTGGGTATCAAGCCTGCTCCACATTTGCCGTAGTCCGTACTTTATTAATGAGTGTAGCCAAACTGTATCATTATGTCAGGGAGGGGCATATCCACAAAACCACGACACGAACGGATTGTATCCACCACGGCACGCTTATTGATTGACGTCACAACCCATCCACTTCCGCGCGCATACCCACGCAAACGTAAAAACACGGTGCTTTTCGTGCGGCTGGCCCAATGCGTTTTTGTCGGATGACTCCGTCGAATGCCTGGCGTCTCGTGCGTGTCCCGGGGCTCTGAGGGCGGAGGGAGGGTCACGTGACCGGCGCCGGAGGCTGTGCCCGGTCACGGGTCAGGGCCTGGGGCAAGGTCGTGTCTGGGGGCGGGTCAACGCCGGCGCCGAGGTGGCAGTCGCCCTGCGCGGGCTGGGCGGGGAGGGGCGGCGGTGCGCACTGTGTGAACGTGCCACCTGGGCCGGCCGTGTGCGCCCTATCTGCCGCCGCGCGTGCTTTTTCTGTGTGACCTCGCGGCCGAGCTGCCACTACCGAGGCCGAAGCGAGGCCAGAAGGATAGCGACGCAAACAACATTACTGCAGTGTTATATCGGCACTTCTCTGCGAGTTTTTTCTGTGAGTTCGCTTTGTGCTGCACCCGTATCTGCGAGTTCTGGCGGTTCTGCATCGTTCTCGGTAGAGTTCTCTCCGTTCTGCGCCACTCGCCGGGCGCCGCGGTGACGGCTGAGCCGTTCGCCGGCACAGTTGTGCCGTGTTCGGACTCTCGACGACCGGTGACAAGTGTGCTAACCCGACCGGGGCGCCGACACGCCCGTCGAACGCGGCACTGCGCACGGCGCGCACTGACGGCTCGGCCCTGCGGCGGCGGCACCACTGCAGCGGAGCGGAGACGCGGCTCAACGGGCTCAACGAACGGTGAGCGAACGGCTTTGGAGGGTGCGAGGGTGGGGAATTACAAACTTCGAGCCATTTGTGAAATTCATCCGGTCCAATGGAATTTAAAACCGTCTTCAGCTCCGAATTCAGAGCTTCTTTTTAGGACAAAAAAAAACTGTTCGTATGGTATGTCGCAGCAGCATGAGCCAAAACTAGTTAGTGCAAGTTCCACTTTGCATATTTCATTGTCAGACAGCCTCACACGTGTCGCCAAAAGTGTGTCATGCTTCGTAAATTGGTGACCTTAGAAATAGGCACGGTTGGTAGTTGAGTCTAATGTTTTTTGCAGCTTGCATATACCTAAATGGATTATGAAAATGAATAAGAATGGAAACCCATTTCAAAAGTGAAGAAAGTCAACCGGCGTTCTCTCTTCGAGTCCTTATGTCCTGTCTGAGAGTGGGATACGGTTTGAAAGGCACCTACCCGGTCGAGGGGGCGGATGCCATCCTCTCCCAGCCCTCCCCCCCCCCCCCCACCCCCATCCCGCCCCCACCACCACCGACGTATTTGTTCGCGAATCGCGATTGTTTGGAACGCGCTGGCCGAAGGGCTGTAAGCTAGCATACCTTGCCCTTGATTCAGGCGAAATCTGGAGATATCAACCACATTTCTGGGTCAGGTCGGGTCACTGACATATATGACGTCAAAAGGGAACATCTGTAGCCTGCACTATATCCTAAATTTCCCAACTGCGCAAGATGGCATGCAACGCCCTCATTGCCAGTTAACATTTCACAGAGAAATAAAAGTTTCACGACTTGGCGACCGCCCAAGCTATCAACTTCTCGCATCTCGGGTTTTCTTGTGGTCACCGCAACCTGAGGTCAGGTCGATCACATGGCCTCATGCACCATTACATAAGTCGGTTGGGAAGATGCCGAAAATACTATTTTGAGGCCGCAAATGAGCCAAGATTTTTTCAAACACATAACTAGTTCATACACTCCTTGTAAGGTTCGATGCTTATGTCCCGCCCAAGGTTTTTCGTGATATGCTCCGAACGCGCCGGCGATATAAGCTGAAATTTGGCATACCTGACCTTTTACTTAACCCGCGCCCCGTAGGGCTACCGGCGGACCCTACCACCTGTAGGGGGGGGGGGGGCCGTTTCGCCCCCCCCCCCCCTAAGATCTCGGAAAGTTACCGGCCGATTTTCAAAATTCAAACGGCATTCGATAGCCCCACCCGGGAACTACCTTGTGACCAAATTTCATTGACCTAAGTCAAACCGATGACGTCACAGGTCAGGTCAAAGGTCAGATTTTCACCGTTCACAGGCAATTCAAGAAATGTGCTGTGAAAGCGAGTAAATTGGTAATTTATTGAAAACCATCGATGGTACATTGTTCGTCAAACACATACTTTGCTATCTGAGGTCACTGATACCAGGTCAGGTCACAGCGAGGTCAGGTCACCGGGGGTCACAATATGAATGTGTCGTGTGATACATGTTTTATGGTCCATTTTACATGACAAATGCGATTATGTGGGTTAGGCAGCCTTTGGGGCCAGCCTAGGTCACGTTTTGGTGAAGGTCAGGTCAAGGTCAGGTCAAATTAGGTCAAATTTCAAAGTTGATGTTTTTGCATAAAATGGGTATCGATTCGATGCAGCTCGTCACGGGGAGTCTAATGGTGGTCTTCGTTTTGCTCTACGAGTTCTAGAATTGCCAAAAATTGAGTTTGAAAATTTGACGTCATCATTTTTGAACAGTTTTTTCGCTATAACTTGGCCAAAAAACGAGGTATCGATCTGAAATTTGGTATGTTAATAGAAGACGGTAGGCACTATCACATATATTCTGGGTTTTTTCGAAACTCAAAAAACTTTTTGGATTTTTTGGCGAATATATCCAAAAAAATGCTTTTTTGATTTTTGGGGGTCAAAACTCAAAAATTTCAAATATTCGAGATAGCAGTTTTGTAGCCCTGTCAATTCTACACCTTTTATGTCATGATCATTTTTCTGTATCTTCAAAGCTGTAGTCCTGACAGGTCTTCTCGCGAAGGTCTTTTTTCGGTCGAAAATGACAGAACATGACGTCACTCTGACGTCATTTGTGGCCAACCTATCATAGCCTCTGGAAAAATTTTTGGTCACAATGTGTAAAATTGATGCCCGGAGGGGTCCTGCAAGTTTGGTGGCGATATCTCCAGCCGTTTAGGAGATATCGACCGAAAAGGACAGGGGGGGGGGGGGGCGCCGTTTCGGCCCACCCTACGGGGCGCGGGTTAAGCCGGATCTTGTGACACCAACCGTATTTTCGGATCAGGTCAGGTCACTGACCTATGACGTCATAAGTTAACTTCTGCACGGTCCTCAGATGTCGCAACTTCGCAACGTCCTCAGTACCAGAAGAACTTTCACAGAGAGATGAAGCTACAAGACTTAGTATCCTTCAGATGTCTCACAATTTGTATATCTCGGATTCTTCCAAAAGGTCACATGAGGTCAGGTTGGTCACGTGACCTCACCATTATGAGTCAACGAGGGAAATGAAAACTGCTATTTTGGCGCCGGGAACGATCTCAAACTACCACAAACACATGGAATCATGATTTCATGCACTCCTTGCAAGGTCTGATGCTCACGTTTGCATTGTTGACCTATTGCGACGTCATTTATGGCGTCACTAGAGTCATAAGAGTTTTTCGTCAATAACTCCGATTAAATTGAGCAAGCGAGTCGGGAAAGCCCCCAATCGACTCAAAAAGAACTGCCAAATCAAATGATGTGCAATATGACCTCCATCAATCAACTTCGTGACCTGGGGGCTCTGGAGTCTGGCATGACCTTTACCCGAGGTCAACACCCCAAGTTGACCTCACTCAAATTAAAAGTATGCCATTCGACGCGCATGAGCGAGGCGAGCACGATGATGCCAAAATCGCGGCACTGCGACCGTTTTTTTTTTTGCGAAGTTATTCATCAAAAACTGAATTCGTGCTTTGGGCCACTTTACCTAACCTCAAGAGGTCACCGGTTGAGCTGAAACCCTAAAATCGGATACCAGTCGCTGCGTCTTGTAACGGCGAACACGCTCGTTTTTTCCGCGACGCTCTAGCTCCATCAGGAGGAAACGGCGAGGGGGTCGTACTAGCCCCCCCCCCCCGGCCGGCGCGTATGTAGAAAACCAATAGGTCCGGTGATGTTTAAAGCTTGCGGTAAGGCAAAATAACGATCTGATGCAGCTTGATGACCCGCAAGAACTACCATAAATTATGCAAAAATATGGGTGATACTGATGACTGAGGTATGCTTGCTGCTTGCATCTGAAGTCCGAGGTGTGAGGACACGGTTTTTGACAGTTTTTGGTCGGCTAAGGGACTTGGATCATGAGTTGAATGCGTTCATCCATGAACCTCTGTATACACTACAGAGGTAAATAATATGGCTCATCAAATCTTTGGTGTCTTTGGCTATCTTTGGTGTGTTCTTGTCCTCCCCCCCCCCCCCCCTCATCCCCCGCACACACTTCTCCAGCGATTGTCTATGTAAGGGCCGGGTGCCTGGAGGCCGTCAAACCAAAAAGAAGCACAAGAGTCTGCGGTTGTTTCAGGGTAGGTATACTGTGCCGCAGGGCGCCGGGGCTGTGCGGCGCAGCAGCCGCCAGAGGCGGCCTTCATGGCACGACAGCGGCATCCGTGCAGGCTGACAGTATGCAACCGTGGATTCCAGGACAAATCTTCGTATGGCATTTCTTCGTCGCGCAATTCTTCGTCCGCATTTCTTCGTCCGCAAATCTTCGTCGGCGCATTTATTCGTGTCGCATTACTTCGTCTCGCATTTCTTCGTAAGCGCAAAAATTCGTAGCGCATTTCTTCGTATCCGCATTTCTTCGTCGGCGCATTTCTTCGTCAAGCATTTTTTCGTCCACGCATTTCTTTGTCTACGCAAATCTTCGTCCGCATTTCTTCGTCCACGCAAATCTTCGTCTGCGCATATCTTCGTCCGCAAATCTTCGTCCCCGCAAATCTTCGTCCGCAAATCTTCGTCCGCATTTTTTCGTCCACGCATTTCTTCGTCTACGCAAATCTTCGTCCGCATTTCTTCGTCCACGCAAATCTTCGTCCCCGCAAATCTTCGTCCGCAAATCTTCGTCCGCAAATCTTCGTCCGCAAATCTTCGTCCGCAAATTTTCATCCGCATTTTTCGTCCATGCATTTCTTCGTCCAATCAAATCTTCGTCCGCAAATCTTCGTCCGCAAATCTTTTTCTGCGCCATCTTCGTCTCCGCCAACATTCGTCCACAAATGTGGTTCAATAAAACCATGAAGAAATATCAGACAGTCAAGTGAATGACGAATTTAATGCATGAAATAGATGATCGAAACTTTTGAAGTCAGGTAGATGAGGTCAGTCAGGTGAAGCTTTTGTATTTGGGAGCCGACAATTGTAGCATTTCATATCATTTGTGTCCCGGACATTCTTTTTTTTCGCGGTCGTTGAATGACAATATAATCTCTTGTACCCTCGCCTGCATAGGCGGCGGAACGGGGAGGGCACCGGGGCACCGTTCCCCTCTTTAATTTTGGCCTTTTAACAGTAGCCCTATCATGGGCGTTGCATGGAAAGCATATTGGACCAAAAGTCGGCAGTGCCGTGCCCCCCCCCCCCCCCCCCTTAATTGAAGATGTTCCGCCGCTACTGCCCGCCGGACGTATTTGTTTTCTACGGTACACGCCGGCCGAGGGGGCGGGACGCGGGTACGACCCCCCCCCCCCCATCGCCGTTTCGCCACTGGTGTAGCTAGCGCGTCGCGGAAAAAAAACGAGCGTGTGCGCCGTTACGAGTCGCAGAGATTAATACCCGATTTTAAGGCCTTCTAGGTCAGGGGTCGGCATACGCGGCTCGCGGGCCGGATCCGGCCAGGTGGGTGACGGTTGGATCCGGCCCGCGACCATCTGACGTCCGGCCCGCGGCTTGCAGCGACTTACATCGTGTTCCGGCCCGCGGTTCCTTCATAAATCGACTCC